TCAGGTGAGCAGACCCTTGTAATCCCCCAGATCAAGAAATAGGGCATTAGTTGTGTCCCCAAAGCCTCACTATCCTTCTCTAATCTTATTACCCTCCTGACTTCTCTTGGCTCCCTCCTTCCCAGATGTTACCACTATTCTGACCTTCCATTGTACGTTAGTTTTGCCCCCTTTTGAACTTTATGGAAATGAATCATATGGTTCACAGTCTTCTGTGTCTGGCCCTTTTTCACTCAGTATTATGGACGTGGTGTCATCCAGGCTGTCCTGAGCAGCAGTAGTTCATTTGTTTCCGTTGTATGATCAGACCACAATTTATCCATTTTGCTGTTGGTAGATATCTGAGTTGTTTCAGGGGAAGGTTGTTCTGATTGTTGCTGCTTGTGGCCATTCTTGTATACATCTTTTGTATCCCTGCAGTTACTTCTACCGGATCTGTTCCTAGGGGTGGAGTTGCTGGGTCACAGGGTTCATGTGTTTATCTTCATTTCACATTGTCAAATGCTTTTTTGAAGTGGCTGTACCACCTCAGTGCTGCACTCCTGCTGGCCGTGTGTGGGTATCCCAGTCACTCTGCATCTTTTCTTACACTTGGTGTGATCAAAGTTTAATATTTCAGCCCTTCTTGTAGTTTTACTCTAGGAGTATCCTATTACATGAAGTGCCTGTTCAAATCTCATCCCTTATTTTTAATTGGGTTGTCTGTCTTGTTCTTGTTGATTTGGATACATCGTTTAGATATTCTGGATGCAACCCATCTGCTTGTTTAAATGATACAAAAATCTTCTCTCACTCTGTGGTTTGTTTTTTTCATGCTCCTTATGGTGTTTTTTGATGAGGAAGATGCTTTATGAATTTTCTTCTTTGCATAGTGGTTCTCTGACACATGTTAAAGAAGCACCTAGGGATCTGTGGTTTCCTGCTCTTGTTCAGCAGGGTGTCCAGATCTCTGTGGCTTTGTTCTGGCTTTAGCCATCACATCTTCAGCTGGGAGACTTTCCTCCTGAATTTCTTTTACTTTTCTTTTTTTCTTTTTTGATAGTTTATAAATTATTAATAGTTTACAAGATGCTATGACTTTTTATTGTAGTATAATTGACTTACAATATTATATTAGTTTCATGTGTACAACCGAGTGACTTTATATTTCTAGACATTACAAAATGATCACCATGGTAAGTCTATTTACCGTCTGTCACCATACAAAGTTATTACATAGTTATTGACTAGATGTCCCACTCTGTACATTTCATCCCCTTGACTCATTTATTTTGTAACTAGAAATTTGTAACTCAATTTTTCTCACCTAGTTCATTCAACCTCCTTGCACCCCTTCTTCCCTCTGGCAACCATCTGTTTGTTCTCTGTATCTATCTGTTTCTGTTTTATTTTGTTTGTTCATTTGTTTTGTTTCTTAGGTTCCACATATAAATGAAATCATACAATATTTGTCTTTATCTGTCTGATTTATTTCAGTTAGCATAGTACCCTCTTGGTCCATCCATGTTGCCACAAATGGCAAGATTTCATTCTTTTTATGGCTGAATAATATTCCTATATATACATATATATCATATCTTAATTATCCATTCATCTATCAATGGACACTTAGAGTGCTTCCCATATCTTGGCTATTGTAAATAATGCTGCTATGAATACTGGGCTACATGTTTTTTTTTTAAATTAGTATTTTATAATTTTCTTTGGATATATATCCAGAAGTGGGACTGCTGGATCATATAGTAGTTATATTTTTAATTTTTTTTAAGGAAGCTCCATACTGTTTTCTATAGTGGCTGTGCCAGTTTACGTCCCACCAACAGTTTACAAGGGTTCCCTTTTCTCCACATCATTGCCAACACTTATTTGTTGTCCTTTTGATGACAGCCATTCTGACAGGTGTGAGGTGACATCTCACTGTGGTTTGATTTGCATTCCCCTGATGATTAGTGATGTTGAGCATCTTTTCATGTGTCCGTTGGCCATCTGGGTGTCTTCTTTGGAAATGTCTGTTCAGGTCCTCCATCCATTTTTAAATCAGATTGTTTTTGTGATGTTGAGTTTTATGAATTCTTTGTATATTTTGGATATTAACTCCTTACTGGAGTTATATAATTATTTTAAGTGGATGACTTCTTAAGTTTGAATGCGTTCCTATAATCCTGTTTTTTTTACTCCCCTCTCATGACAATTAACATTTTCGACATTATATTCTAAATCTTTTTATTTTGTGTATCCCTTAACTGCTTGTTGTGGATATAGACGATTTTACTACTTCTGTCTTTTAACCTTCTTATCAGCTTTATAAGGCTGATCTGTTGCCTTTATTGTATGTTTGATTTTACCAGTGAGATTTTTGCCTTTTGTAATATTTATATTTCTAGTTGTGGTCTTTTCCACCTAGAGAAATCCCTTTAACATATTTTTGTAAAGCTGGTTTAGTGGTGCTGAACTCTTAACTTTTGCTTGTCTGTAAAGCTCTTGTATCTCCTTCATATTTGAAAGATAGACTTGCCAGGTAGAGTTTCCTTGGTTGTATGTGTTTTTCTTTGTATCTCTGTTTATCTCTATGCATTAGGTAGGTCAGTTACATTTCCCAGTCTTAGAGAACTGGTCTCATGGCAGAGACATCCTATGGGGCCCAGCAGCACACCCCTCTCTGGTCACAGCGCTTATGCTCTAGGCGTGCCTCCTACGTGGGCTGCCCTGCTGTGGAAGGCTGACTACTGTGGGTGCACTGGTAGATGTGGCTGGTCCCTGCCCGGTTGGCTGCTGGGCCCTCCCTCTGAAGAAGCTGCCAGTCTGCTGGTCAGTGGGGCCAGATTCCAGTATCTGGCTCTGGGGCCCAGTGTGTCTCGGATGCAACCCCAAACTCTTAACCACTCCCACTTTCTTATGCTGGAAGCCAGGAGACCTGGTCTGTTCCTCAGGGGTTATGTGACCTGAGGGAAATCATTTCCTTTTATGGACTTCTGGGGCTTTTTCTCTATAAAGTGATTTAAGTTTTGATAAGAGTAACCCTGGGCCCTTTTGGACACTAGGATACATGCCCAACATTGTGGTAGGAGCTTGCACACAGTAGGCATTTAATAAGTGTGGGGATGAGTGGGGAAGGTATAGCTCAGTGGTAGAGTGCAGGGCTTAGCATGCAGGAGGTCCTGGGTTCAATCCGTGGTACCGCCATTAAAAATGATAATAATAATATACAAACAAACCAAATGACCTTTCCCCCACCAGATTAAAAATAGTAAGTGTGGAGATGAATGAATAGGTTATTTACGAGGAAATCATTCTTTCTTAGCAGCAGAAAATCACCTACCTATGCAGGTATTTGAAAGCCAGAAACTGGAAAGTGGAGTCCAGGGCCACAAAGGGCTCAGAGCGCCTCTTATCAAAACTGCAGACACAGAATACAAACTTGTGGTTGCCAAGGGGGCGGGGGGTGGGAAGGGACAGACTGGGATTTCAGAATGTAGACTAGATAAACGAGATTATACTGTGTAGCACAGGGAATATATACAAGATCTTTCGGTAGCTCACAGAGAAAACAATGTGACGATGAATATATATATGTTCATGTATAACTGAATAATTGTGCCCTACACTGGAATTTGACACAACATTGTAAAATGATTATAAATCAATAAAAAATGTTAAAAAAAACTACAGAGGAGACACTGGTAATGACTTTTTATTTTTTAAAGAAGTTGCATTTTTTTGGGGGGGGGAGGAGGTAATTAGGAATATTTATTTATTTTTGGTGGAAGTACTGGGGTTAGAACCCAGGATCTCATGCATGCTAAGCACGCGCTCTACCACTGAGCTCTACCCTCCCCGCTCCCTGGGAACAACTTTGAATTGCAGTTTTTGCTACTTTTCACTTCCTTAGACTGCAAGCCCCCCCCACCCCCTGAAACCTGGTTGTCACTGAATGTTTTGCCCTATGTGTCCTCAGACTTCAGTAGGTATAAGACACCCCTGGGGAGACTGCAAAAATGCAGGTTCTTTGGCTCCACCCCCAAGGGGTCCTGACTCAGAATGTGACCCAGAAATCTGCACTTTCACAACTACCCAAACACCTGGTGCTTTGTTCTATGATCTTCAGTGGGATGAACCTTCTACTCTGGGTGAATTCAGGAAAAATTGCTTATTAGATTAAATCATGTGTTTCTGAAGACCCCCTCCCACCTCAGTGGGTGGAGGATCAGGGTGGAGTCCCCTTCCAAAGTGGCTGGTGTGCAAGGAGACGCTGAGTGCCCAGGGGCTCAGGTCCAGGGTGGCCCACTTTAAGGAGCAAGACAAAAAGTAGGAGCCAAAAGGACAGAGCACTAGGCAAGTTGCATTGTGAAGAATAGAAAATGACCAGAAAGTAGGAGAGGGTAGAGCTCAAGTGGTTGGCATGCTTAGCATGCAGAAGGTTCCGGATTCAATTCCCAGTACCTCCATTAAAAAAAAAATAAACAAATAAACCTAATTACCCTGCCCCTGCCAAAAAAAAAAAAGAAA